GAAATCAAATCCTTTAGGCTTTTGCTTCACAAGGTGTTGCTTTACATCTTTACAACACACACAAAATTGCTACACTTCAGGAAGATTATTTTCATCTTCTCCTCCCTCATCCTTCTCACCATTTGAAAGGTAGGAAGCTGGATGCAGTCAAGAAGAAAAAAGGAGGGAGGAGGGAGCTGAGGGTGAAGATAGCATAAGAGTTTGACTCCTTAACTGGGTTAATTTGTCAGCTGGCATGCAAGTAGAGAGCTTAAGAGAAAGCTACAGGGAAAAAAAAAATAATTGCAAGACATGTGCTATTCATGTAATTGCTGACATGTCTAATGCTGTGTGATTCAGGGCAGCTTTGAAATACTAGACTTCTTATTGAGGGATGGAGGGATCACATTTCCACTGGGTGCAATTTGAAGAGACGCATAAAAGAAAGAAATGTAAGTAGTTATGAAGAAGCCCAGTCTTGAGTCAGTTTAAATGCAACTTGCTCAGAACAATTGATTTTTTATGAGAAATAAGTGGATTTGTAGGCCCAACCCAGTATTTGGCAAGCCAGTTTCCACCAAGCAATTGCTAAATTGTTGAATTTACTGTGCAGCGTCTGCTCTTTAGAAATGCGGAAAAACATTAAAAATTATACATTATGCACATAAAACATATGCCAATTTTAACCCACGAGCATTTTCTTTCTATCCTTATAACCCAGTATTAGTTTGGATATTGATTTAAATTTTGGGAATTTTTTTTTGTTTGTCTGTTAGTGGCTTTTTGTTTGCTTGTTTTAACTAAATAAGCTAATTCATGCTTAGCAGAAGATTGAACTTGGTTTAGATTTGGGACTATCTACATCTGATAACTGCCTGAAACAGAGTCAGTACCACGTTTCAAGTGTCCTATTTTTCAAAGCAGAGCTACAGAGGAAAGACAAAATATCTAGAACAAAACTACTCAGATGCTGAGGGAAATCTGTATTAAACTCAGTCCTGCAGTGGAAGACCTGTGTTAAGGTGAAACAAGCAACTGGACAGACAGCCTAGGGAGGTCAAATCTATCAGCAGTCAGCTCATGGAGGCTTTGGTCCCGATGCCAGTAGTTTCCATAAGGCATCAAGGCAAGTTCTACCCCTGAAAAGAGGCATTAAGAAAGCAATGTTCTGGCCAAGCACTCAGCCTTGCAGCCTGCTCTCCAGGTGAGGAGTGCTGGCTCTTGCCACCATTGCCTGTCCTGGGCCTGCTCCCCATGCCACAACAATCTCTTTTCATTCAGTTCACCTGAACAGGGGCCTTTCAAACTCTGGACATGAGGAACTTATTTCTCCCTTGGGCCTCTGGCTGCTGTATCTGGATGAGAGGTGTGCTTCAGCTCCTCAAGGCAACAAACACCTTCAGACTGGCCCCAAGGGAACTAATTTCTCAGTGAGTGTATAAAATTCCTCAGCAGAACTCGTCTGTTTTGAACAACATCATCAGGGAACGTTATCAATAGCAGAGTCTCTCTTTCACAATACTGTGGGATTTCCATACTCCACCCAAATGCATTTTCTTTGAGTAAGTGACATTCTGACGTGCTCTGGGACAACTCCATGGGCCCTTGCCAAAACACATGCTGCCTTCTTCATTCAGACACACACAGCAGTTTAAACTTGGTTTAGCTCCTGAGTCTCAAGTAGTGACAGGCCATCTGGCACCTTCCAGTAAAACTGGCACTTTCTGCTGAGAGAGGTCCAGGGCTTATATAAGACAGGCATGGCAGGACAGGAGTGAAGTGCACTGGCATGTCTTGAGTGCTCCATGGCAGCACTGGGAGCAGAGAAGGAAGACAAGTGAGTGCTGGGGTGAGGGTCAGGAGCAGTGCAGGAACAAGGGACCAGCTGTGGGACTGCTGCTGGGAGGAGGAGGTATCACTCAAAACGGAGCTGTGGGGACAGCCACGCTTGAAGTCAGGGGGTATGGATCAGAATGAAGCTGTACCAAAACCTCTTGGGAGGAGGGCAGACTAGCGCAAAGATTTTAGACTGCATACGTCTCCCTTGGATTATGGTAGCAAAGATACACGGTATCGTACAGCACACAAAACAGGAGAATCTGAAATGAGGTTGGGAATGTGGGGCAAACTAGGAAGCATGAAGGAGGCTTTTAGTACTGGAAAGCTATGCTGTTGCAGCACTGACTTCTTTCTGACTTGTTTTGGCGATGTTGTGTAAGACCAAGACTGAAGCAGTGGGAGAAAAAAAGTATATGTGTTTGGTCCTCCTACCAAAAAAGAGGTTAGTTTTAAGATATGAAAATCAAAAAGAAGATGAGAAAGCCAGTTTTGTTGCTGATTAGTATAATGAGGTGTTCCTACGAGAGTCTGGTGACTGGGAAAATAGAATTAACAATTCATCTACAGAAACAAAAGCTTCACTGAGAATTTTTTTTTCTCACTAGAAGAGAAACATGCAACTCCATTTATTGCAGCAGCTGCCGTTACGTGCACTGGCTGACAAGCCACTCTGGGCACGGATCATAGCACTACTCAAAATCTGCCCTCAGGCATTTTTTTCCATATTCCATACTCTAAACTGAACATTGGACAATGTCTGACACATGCACACAGGTGCCACACAGACTGGTCCCATCCAACTTTATTCTCTATGACTGGCCCATAGAAGTGGAGACCTAACCAAGAAGATAATGGTGTGATGTGTCCTCCTTTGACTGACCTACTTCAAGCCAAAAGACTGGGAAGGGGACATGCAAATCTGCTTCCAGAGCAGACTGAAATGTGTCTTTGGCACAGCATCCCCACACACACTCATCACGCATTCCAAAAAAAGTTTTTTCATCCTTTTCCCCAGATTTCTCTTGTCAAGAGAGGACCATTATTGATAACTCCCTAAGGCTTATTCTCCTTGTGTTACCCAATACCTCATTCACACCTAAGGCATCAGGACAGATGAAAGCAAAACAGAGACAAGCAGTTCTTTCCCTGGTATTCAAACTTTAAATCAAACACCCACTTCGCTGTACTATAAACAGAACTGCCTGTTTGGAGCACCAAGGCACTCCTGTAATATTTCTTTTCCTTTAAGATTTTATATTTCTCCTGTGAGAAGCAATTACAATAGAAGTGTCAAGCAAAAATAAATCCCTGTTAATCACAGTCACTAGGAGCCTGCCAAGTAAATCACATCTCTGTGTTGCTGTTCCATTTTTCAGGTAGAAATAAAAGTGTGTGAGAATGCCATCATTTAGAATTGAGCTCTTCCCAAAAGGAGTACAAAGATTTTGAAAAGAGAAGTTCTTGTGTGTTCATTACATTGTGTGGAATTAGACAAGCACTAAAACTGAGCATCCACTGACTAAGAGTAATTCAGGAAGGATTCCCTGAAGGTTGTGCAGTCCAACCTTCACACAAAGCAAGGCCAAATTCATGGTTAGGTCAGACTGCTCAGTTCAGCTGGGCCCAGGGGTTTCTGAACAGCTGTAAAACACTGGTTCCACAGCTCCTTCAGGACACTGGGCTCATGCTCACCACCTCTGATCATAAGCAACTTTCTACCTATATGTAAATCCAGTTGGGATTTCTTTCCCTGCAACTTGTGTAGATTGTCTTTGGTACTTTCAACATTCACTCTTGAGAAAGGATCTGACCCTGTCTTTGTAGCTTCTCATTCCCTTCAGCTTTTCCTTCCCCAGACTGAACAAGCTCAGTGTCCTTAGCTTCCATTCAAATGTAGGTGCTCCTTCCTCTTCACCTATCTATCACAATCAATCACTGATAACCAAAACATTTGTTTTGGTTTTGATCTAAAAATAGGCAGATCCATGCATCTGAAAGGAAAAATAACAAATGGGGAAAACTTTGGGCTTTCCACTGGACTGTTGTTTTCCCATACTTTTCAAACTCTGAGGTTTCATGAACTGTCCATGTATCACAAGGGAGCTGCCTTAAAGTCACTTGAAGGGAATGGTACTGAACCTGTTCCCCTCCAAATATGAGAATTTCTATGGTCTTTGGAAAGAGGTTTTGCTCTTATTTTATCTTCTTTTCACAATTCCTTGAATTGTGAAAACCAGCCATTTCAAGACAATGCAATTGCAGATGCTGTTCCAGAATTGAGTGCAAGGGAGAAGTTTCCATCATGCCAGAGAGCTGCCAACCACGGTTTTAAAATGCTGTCTCCTATTAAAACCTTTAAAAATGAGGCCTCCAGTTTCCTTTTGAGTAACGTGCAGTGGCTTGGTGACTAGATCAATTACCTTTTTAATGCTATGAATTTTAACCAGAGTATCAGAAACCTCTTTTAGCTGAGTTCATCTTAAGACATCCAGTCTCTGTATTGCAGACTTGAGCTTACAGAATGAGTTTTCAACTCAGATAAGTGGTTATTTTCCCCAGGAACCTTCAGGAACACTACTATTGAGTCAGTGAAAACAGGTACCAGAAACCCAAAAATCCTCCATAAAATTTACATCATCCTGAATAAACCCATCATCTATCAGTGGCAGATGTCTTCATTGGATTGGAAGATATTCTGTCTGGAAATATACAGAGGAATAGTTTTGTTCTAACTCCTTGTTTCTGCACCATCCACACATTTGTACACAGAACTTTAACAAAGCAGCACACATGCATGAAAGGTATTTCACATTCCTCTACCTGTGATCAAAGTCTAGTAAGAGTATTTGGGTATGAGCAAGGAAACAATTTCAACTGTCTTGCCTGATCTCTTACATAAGATTGTCCTACCCCTGTCATAGGGAATGACTGACTGGTGATATTCTGATAGCCACAAAAACTACGTAACATTTTTATTAATAACTCACCCCAAAGAAATATAAATGCTTGTTTAGTAAAACAGAACTAAGGAATCTTTGTTCAATACTTCAGCCTGTAACAGAACAACATATAGAAAAAACTAAGCAGAGGTGGAAATTTTTCCTCTTTTGTGGCTTTAGTATGTTTGTTTAGAGCCAGAAATACCAGTTCACATTCTCTTCTCTGCCAACTGCTGTTCTTACCGGTGACCACGCTGGGAATTTTGGACAGAAAGCTCTTGACAGTGCGGATGGGAACTCCACCTGTTTTGTCATCTTGCATCCTTGTAACGATGTCTTCAATCTGTCAAAAGAACGGAAAGACTCTGTGGTTTATGAAAAATGGTGACTTTAACATGAGCTCTTTGGAGCCCTGCTGGTAGAATGGGTTTCAAATATACCAGGTGTACTACTGCACAAACACGGAGGTAGAGACACCTGCTACCTGCCCAAATTTAAAAATTTAAACCCTGAGAATAGAAACCATGAGACAACATAGACCAGCTCTGAAGACAGTGGTTGGATACTGACAATCCAATTGCAATGGTGCTTCTTTTGCTGACCAGGGGTGATAGAAAGGTGTTTGCTCCACAGATGAACTGGATTGCACTTCAACCAGTTTAAGGAGGTTCACATCCAGTCTACTTTCCCCTCTGCTCCCACATTCACTTGTATCCTCCTTACTGTAACCTTGGGAGAGCTTTCATTTTCTGAAGGGTCTCACACAGTCACCAACCTCCTACGGCTTGAGAAGAGTCTAAGATGGAAAAGCTGCAGGAGGACTTTCCCTGCCTCATTTTGTTGGCTAGAATGCTACATGTCCCATGGTCAGCACACAAAGTAAATAACCAAAAATAAAATAATTATAGAGGAAAACTCGTTGGATTTTGAAAGCCAAGCTACCTTTTAGTTCACAGGCACACACATAATCTATCACATACAGAAAGATACACAATCTTCTTCAAAAGCCATGGCAATCAGAGGATCCAATTACCAGGGGAAGGAGCTTAATCTTCCTCCTGCTTACTCTGAAATGGGAAGGATTTTTTGTTCCTTTTAAGGCTACTTGCCATGCATTTACTTGAAGGCAACGCCAGGGAGAACAAAAAGCTGAACACAAGCACAGTGTAGAAATTCAGTATCTCCAAAAACTCCCTTCAAGTTAATAAGGTCTCAGAAGCCCAACAAAAATAAACCCAAAGCTGTTGTCTCTGTTAGCTCAAGCAGCCAACAGCACAGCCCCACCCGCTGTTGTTGACAGGTGGCCAAGGGCAGCCAGACAAGGAGCACAGCCCTGATTTTACCTAAAGATTTCCTCCTCACAGATGCTACAAAACAGAACCACAGCAGAGAGGTCGATGGGAGCACGGCCCCTCTCTCTCCTAAAGGCAGCCTAAGAGCTCAACATGCTCTCTTCATCTCTGGGAAGCCACTTCATTTACATACACAAGTGAGGGCTTTTTCACAGATTTAACACCTACATTTCAAAACAAGTTTAATTTCAAGTCTTCCCGAGGTGGTAAGACAATCTCCCTGCCAACTTCAGGCACTGAATTTGATTGCTGTGTTTTTAACCTCGGGTTACCACTTAACTAAACTCTTCACACCTTGTTTATATATTACTTTTAATTTAACACATCCTGAACAAATTCTCAGTGGGAATGAAATAGCAAAGATGAAAATATCCTGACATTTTCAATATATTACATGAGCTTTGGGTACTTAGACAGTTAATTTGTGATAGAATAATGATACTTTCCCCACAAACTATGAATCACTATGAAAATTAATACCACTTTTCCCTTTTGCCAGAGCCCTATGCAAAGTTGTTTGCTGATCAAAGCATTGGACTTTTTTCCAGTCTGAGGATATCTACAGAAGTAACTGCTCATCTCAGATACCTGGAGAGGTAACTGCTCTGCTGAGAAGTGGACAAAAAGCATTTAATTTTGTTGAGAGGAGCCTGACAGCATCATTTGTTATCAACCCACACCTACAAGGCTACAGCACTCCAACCTATCAGGCGACAGGGCAGCTCAGCTGCCTCTGAAGAGTAGACCAAGAGTCACAAAATCTCAGAATGGGTCAGGCCAAAAGGGACCACAGGAGGTCACCTGGTCCAACCTCCCTGCTCAAGCAGAGTCATCCTAGAGCACAGGGCACAGGATTGCCTCCAGGGAGACTCTTCAACCTCTCTGGGCAACCCATTCTAGTGCTCAGTCACCCACACAGTAAAAACGCTTTTCCTCATGTTCAGGTGGAACTTCCTGTGCATCAGTTTCTGCCAATTGCCTCTTGTCCTGTTGCTTGGCACCACTGAAAAGAGCCTGACTCCATTCTGAGTCTTAGACTTCATCCAAGAAGTACAGTCAGACTAAGAACTGTTTCTGCAAGACAATGAAAAACCCTCTGTATTACCAACTACTTATGTGCCTTCATCTGTATGTACTTATAGCTGACATCAGAGAAAGATTTTTCCATGCATATTAAGAGGAAACTACTCTGAAATGTACTGTGAGTACCCCGTATCTTCAGGAACACTTCAGGGCTTCAAGAATCATAAGAATAATGTTTGGTAAAACTGTTTTCTCTTTTTCTATGTGAATGAAAAGTTCAGAATGAAAAATGAACTAAAATAATTACTTCAGTGCAGGAAAATAAACTTTTTACTCTTTTGCTCGCTATAAACTAAAGGAACAACAGCATGATTTATGTCATTAACACTACAAAAAAAGTTCCATTTCAAGCAAAATAAAACTTTAATTATCTTAAAAGAAAGATATATTGTTTTTACCTAAACTATTCCCCATTTCAATCAATCAAGCAGGCGTTGGTGTCTCAAACAGGGCCATTAATTTCAGTTTCAGTTACAATTACAAATACCTACTGCATTTTTAAATAAAAAATAAACAAAGCTACCCTAGAGATAACTTCTTCCCAAAAGGCGCTCTCTTACTCCTGTCTTCCAGCCTGACTACACTACTGGCACTTACTGCTCTCCTTGTTTCAAACTGTTGGATGTTTCTTTTCTCCTTTCCTTTCTACTCAAATGCCACGCCTCTGTTCTCTCCTGTCCTCTCAACTGATCCAGACATAAATACACGTCATCCTCCAACAGCATGCCCAGAATTTCCAGTCTGCTGCTCAAGAGCCCACAGGATTACAAGCCCCTAGTTATACATATTCTTTCCACTCCCAACACGCTTTTCTTGTGCTCTCCTGCAAATTTCTGCCCTGCTTGAAGAGGACAGCATGGCATACACAAACATTTTAAGATAATTTTATCGTTTCCTAAAGTTATAATCAAATTTTAATTAAAATATTAAAAACCTGCATCTAGCAATGTTTCCAGGTTTTGTTCAGTTCACTACAAAGAGAAGACCTGACCCTTTACACCTGCCTTTGTTCTGCACCCACCCAATGCTTGCAGATATTACCACCCTGCTGAGCTATGGAATGAAATAATTTCACAAAATAAGTGCTACAGTGACAAAGCAGAAAAAAAGTGATCATTAGAGATTCAAGCATGGAGAAAAGCAAAGAGGGAACATGAAGTGTGAAGGTCACTTTCATCAAAGCTTTTTATCTTAACTTTTAAGAGTCACCTAGACACTCGAGTGCTAATGACTCCCTTCAGCTTCTGCATGTCATTAAAAACCCCTTAGGCTTCCCTCTCTGCAGACAGGGAATGAGAGTCCTTGGACAGCTCATTTCATCAGGCTAGGAGGCAGAAAAAAGTGCAACAAAGCATTCCTCATTTTTCTCTCCTAAATGAGCAAACTTCAGTGAACTAACTTCTGCCCAACAAAAGTCATAGTAACAACGAGGAATGCTTTTTGTTTTTTTTCCTATGATGTGGGTCACTGCTATTTCATCTAGTCTGATTTTGTAAAGGGAATTGTAATTCTTCCCTCCAAGTGGATTCTGAGTCGGTATCTCCACAAGAAAGCCAGAGGAATTCATGTATCTGCTGTCACTGTTAGCTACACACTCTAATGTATGCCTAACAAACTAGATCTGCTTTTCCTCCTGACTGGTTGTTGACAAGTCTGCTCCCTACATTTATCCAGAATGTTTTTATCCCTCATTATCCCGCTCTTAATGCATTGAAAAGGGTTTCTGGCTTCAGAAACACATTAGTGGAGACAAACTACTGCAGGTAGTTTATGAGAGGTTACCAGCAGATTCTGTTACACAGAGTGTGATGGGAATTTAATGCCTACCTTGCTACCATTCATTAGACCTTCTTTTTCACTATGAGCACTTTTGCTGGCTTAAGGAGGCTGAAGGCACAAAGTAGAAGACCTTGAATTTCTGTCAGAAACAAGATGTCTATCACTGGAAGATGAGAAGTCCTTTTTCTGAGGCAGGACAGAACAAAAGATTACATTTGTTGATGCATTAGGATAACTAAGTCATAATACAACAAGGAATGTAACAACCACAGCCCAGCAACTTTGGGTCAGTGCCACCCAACATCCCATTATCATCACAAGAGAGAAAACAACTCTCAGCTTTTCAGTGGCTTTTCTTTCTCCCAGCACCAAGGTAAAAGCAGGCACCCTTCTGGTACAAGTTAGCACACACAGCCTTGCTGAGCCCTGGTCAAGGCTGGACTTGCAGGTGACACGCTGAGGGAAGGGCGAAGTTACACAGAGAAGAAAAGCTACCAGTTCCTACCTCCCAGAGCCCCACACCCAGACACCACCAGCAGCTAATGGAACTCCCTGGCTCAGCACCCTCATAATGATGTCAGAGGCCCTCATGGTCCCATTTTGCCATTTTATTTTGTGAGTTAGGAAAACAGTACCCTTTTCATATTCTAGCATTTGAGTTAGATGTACATATTCCCTCAGACCCTGCAGGAAAGCTCCTGCTGCCTATTTCTGAATATTTCAGTATGTACCAGGTGCCTGTCTGATTACTCACAGCAGCTACCTACCCTTGGGGCCTCCTGTCACCAGCTAACCTGTGGCTGGAGAGCCTCCAAGCATCACTCATCAGTGCCAACATTAAATGTACAGGGTTAGAGAGAGCACTGTGCAGTTGCAAAGATACTCTCTGACCTGGCTGATGACAGCTCTCATGCATATTGAGGGAGCTGGACGGTACACAGAGCAAAGGATCGGTCTGCTATCAGCTAGCATGATGGCAATAATTATAAGCACATTTGATCTTTTTACTGAAATTCAAGTTTATAAGAGCCTGTTTGTCGCAGTGCCAGCTCTTACTCCCGTAAGTGCCTCTGACACTACCGGTGTGCCTGTGCATTCTGCACCTGCTGACTCCTGCCACACAGCCCAA